CAAAGCAATTTTATGCGCAATACCAGTTTGGATGATAATTACATGATTTCATGTAATTACAACATAAATTTTCTTCTTATTCATATAAGAGATACTCTGTATGATATGAAAAACGAAACGTTTCCTTATTCAAAATTTATAAGGTTAGCGCGACAATTCATGTCGAGGATAGCACCAAGAATTATAGCACCAATTATGTATGATGAAGAAGTTTCATTCACCTATTCCATTTCCAATTGGTATCTTACCTGGCGCAAGTTGCTGACAATAAATAATATTTTATCAACATTGATTGAAGACGAAAATCATCAAGCATTGGTCGAAAATGGAGAAATAATGCTTTTAGAAATTATTTGGCAGCATGTGTTTGACGAATATTCTAAATCGGCACAAGTAGGCTATGAAATTTTGAATAATGAATCAGGATTTATTGACATAATTCGTGGCTACAAATTAACTTCTTTACCACATTTATTATTATTTGGAGTACTTGACTTAGTGCAAAACATAATCAACAAAACTTTGCGGAAATTTTCTTTGGCCTTATGCTATTACATATGCATGGAAACTTTTCAAAAATTTGATAGCGACTTTATAAGGTGCAAATCCTTGGAATTATTATTTATATTGTCATATAAACATCCAGAACAATTTAATGAGATAGTTGAGATTGAAATAGAACTTTATAGAGAAACAAGTAAACAAGATATAAATATCAATATTTTAATTAGCAAAGTTAAACCGAAAGTTGAAATTGATAATAATATTTTCAACGAATCAGTAAACTCGGTTAAGTCTAAAAAGGGAAAGGAAAAGATGACTACTAACCAGGATGCAGCTAAAGCAGACTCTGAATTATTAAATATTATAGCCGAAAGATTAACTTGTCCAATAATGAAAGAAATCACTGGAGATTTTTATGTTCTTGGATGTGGACATTCAATCAGTAAATTCGCAATCGATGAATGGAAATCAATGTTGCAATTTGAAGATAGGAAATTTGAATGTCTAATATGCCGAACTCTAATAGAACAGGAATCTATATACAATCTTCCGCAGAATGCCACTCTTAAAGGTCTTTATAAACGACTAAAGGAAGCTGGGTATATTGATATGCCATGTAAATTTAACCATGTACCATCAAATTCTAAGCACGATCTTAGAGACGAAGTTTTTCTAAAATTGAATAAGTTACGTTCATTTGGAATTCCAAGAGTTAATGTGCCTACAAAGAAATTTTTAAATAAAATAATGCCAAAGAATTTAGATCCTGCATATCGAAAAGCAGTCGAAGCAGAAGAAAGTGAAAACCATTTAGAAGCAATTATGTGGTATACACGTGCATTAGAAAACTATCCACATAGCTATTCCATTAGATGTAAAAGAGCGAACAACTCAGAAAAACTTAAATTATATTCAAAGGCTCTTGAAGATTACTCAAATGCAATAAGTTTATATCCAGAAGAATCATTTGCATATATAAAGCGGAGCAAAATTTATCATAATTTTGAAAAATTGCAAGATGCTTTAGAAGATATCAAAAAGGCATTAACAATCGAACCTCAAAATATACCGGCTTTATTAGTTGGCGGAGACATTTTTTTTTCACTTGAAAAATATAAAGAATCATTAGATTATTATAAGAAAGCCTATAAAATCAATCCAAATAATGAAGATACGTTAGTATCTTTGGGAAAGCTCTACTTTTTACTTGAAGAATATGAAGAATCGTTAAACTATTATAGAAGAGCTAATCAAGTCAAACCAAATGATGCCGAAATATTATTATGTTTGGGAAAAATCTACTTTTCACTCGAAAAATATTTAGAGTCGATAGATAATTATAAGATGGCTGCTATAATTAAACCAAATAATAAAGACTTATTATTAGGTTTAGGAAAAGTATATTTTTCACTTGAAAAATTCGAAGAATCATTAAATTATTATAGGAAAGCTGATCAAATCAAATCAAATGATGCTGATATATTACTGGGTTTAGGAAAAGTCTACCTTTCGCTTGAAAATTATGAAGAGTCATTAAATTGTTATAGGAAAGCCGATCAAATAAAACCAAATAACGCAGATGTATTATTAGGTTTTGGAAATTTCTACTTTTCACTTGAAAATTTTAAAGAATCGCTAAATTGTTATAAGAAAGCCAATCTAATTAAACCAAATGATGTTGACATATTATTAAGTTTAGGAAAAGTCTACTTTTCTCTCGAAACATTTGAAGAATCCCTGAATTATTATAGGAAAGCTGATCAGGCAAAACCAAACAATGAAGATACATTATTATGTTTGGGAAGCTTTTACCTTTCTCTTGAACAACATGAAGAATCGTTAAATTATTATAGGAAAGCTGATCAAATTAGTCCAAATAATGAAGATACATTATTGTGTCTGGGAAAAGTCTGTTTTTCACTTGAAAAATATGAAGAATCGTTAAATTACTATAGGAGGCTGGATCAAATCAAACCCAATAACATCGATTTGTTATTAGTTTTAGGAAAAGTTTGTCTTTCGCTTTCAAAATATGAAGAGTCGTTAAATTATTATAAGAAAGCTGATCAAATTAAACCAAATGATGCAGATATATTATTAGAATTAGGAGAGGTTTCCTCTTTACTTGAAAATCACAAAGAATCGTTAAATTATTATAAGAAGGCCGATCAAATTAAACCAAATGATGCAGATATATTATTAGAATTAGGAAAGGTTTCCTCTTTACTTAAAAATTACAAAGAATCGTTAAATTATTATAAGAAAGCCGATCAAATTAAACCAAATAATATCAATATATTATTATTTTTAGGAAATCTCTACTTTTTTTTTGAAAAATATGAAGAATCGTTAAATTATTACAAGCAAGCTGATCAAATTGACCCAAACAACAAATATATATTATTAAGGTTGGATAATGTATACTTTTCCCTTGGAAAATATGAAGAATCGTTAAATTATTATAAGAGATCCACAATAGAAGAAACGCATTTATGTAATTTAGAATAAAGAGAATAACAACTGATTATATAATGGCGCTAAGGGTCTCTTGTTACTATCAAAAATATGCAGAAACAGGTTTATTTTTGTTTACCCCTTGTACATATAAAAATAGCTTTACAACGAGATATTATTTATATGTGCATATTTTAGATCACATTCGTATAAACTTATTTTTTATTTAAATTTTATGTTGATTACGTACTGTATATGGTTTATTTGGAATATTTTGTTTATTGCAAGAATAAATTAACATAACATTATTCATTTAAAATTTTCTATTAATAAACGATATGTCAAAAAAAATTTTGCTTGTTTACATTTACAACCATAGGAGGTTGAAGTAGTAAAGAAATATGTTAGAATTTTTACTAAATAAGAGGGAAGATAGGGAGATGTGTAAATATTATAGGAACTCAGAGAAAATAAACAATGTCTCAGACCTTACATTTAACATTTCGTACAACAGTACAAATCTAATAAAATTAATCCAAATAATGGAGAAGTATCATTAGGTCAAGGAAAGTCTACCTTTTATTTAAGGAATATAAATAATTATTACATTATTATGGAATATTTGATTAAATTAACAAATAATGTCAATCAATTGTAAGGCTTATGAGATTTACTTTTTACTTAAAAAATATGAAGAATAATAATATTATCATAAAGGCCCGATCAAATTAATAGAGATGGCTTATTAAGCTTGGGAAAAGTTTATCTTCACTTTAAAAATATCAATGAGAGTTATTACTTATGATCTGATTAAATTGAATCAAATAATAATACGTACATTAGTAAGTTGGGAATAGTCACTTTTCACGCAGAAATAAGAAAATTTTTCGATGTTACAAAAAATCAATCCAAATAACAAAGACACTTAGGTTTTGGAAAAGCCTATTGTAAGTTAAGCTCCTTTAACGTGTACTAACGGAGAAAATAAATATTAATAAACCATATTAAATAGAATTGACTGGCTATACAGTATTACGTGATTGGTCCAACTCAAAATCCAATTTTATGTAAGCCAAACATAATATTTGAATCAAAAATTTTACTTAATGTTTTATTCTTATATTTTTTATCACTAGGGGCACAAAAACTTTCATAAATCTCATATTTTTTTTCTAATATTTTTATGTCAAAATATTTCTTCATTAAAGTTGCAGTTTTTAATATAACTGATTTAGTATCAGAATTCAAATTCATTTTAATATTTTTCGAAAAAAAGATTAAATAATACGAAATGCAAGATAAAAAAATGAGACAACGTTAAATGATTATGAATCCAAATCATTTAAAAATATATTATTTATCATATTAAATACGATGTTTAAAAAACAACTACAGTACTTAAATTATATACGGCAGTATCTACAGGTGATGTAAATTTGATTGAATTCGGAGTTGTATTTGTAGCCTTTTAATCTCTCCAGAGTCACCCACCCAGCCTCGAAGATAGCTCAATTCTTCGCTAAAATAGTTTGTTTGACTGATTGCCTCTGCGATACTCTGTTTTTCGCTAAATTGCGGTATATTTTCCAACAAATACTTGATTGCCGCCATCTTTTTTAGTTTAACCGCATACCCAAGAACATTTAATTCATCGCAGTTTTTGGTTTTAAAATCCAGACTCTGTTTGAGAATAAGTTTAAGAATCGAAATATGATGTTTTTTGTATAAAGTGTAAAATAATAGGTTTGAGCATTGAGGAGAAAATCGAAAGTTCAGTACTTTCTGATTTCCGATTAAACATTCGATTTTCTCGCTCATTCCAGTTTTGAGTGCATAATCAAAGACATTTAAATGATCTTTATTCTCCACTGACAAGTCAATATCTATATTGAGAGTTAGAATAAGTGTGGAAACGGGGAAACTTTTTATAACCAGGAATAACAAGTTTGGACACTCTTCAGAAAATCTAAACCAAGAACTCAATTCTTTGCGATGATTAATAAGGAGGTATTCTAAAGCCTTAACATTTTTCCAGGATGCTGCATAATCGAGAACATTTTGACTTTCATCATTCCTTGTTGACAAATTAATTCCAGAATCAATGATCAATTTAAGGGTTGAAATAGGAAACTCTTGTCTTATGGCAAAAAATAATATGTTGGGATAAGATGGTGAAAATTTATAATCGGATTTCCTGATGTGACCGTTAAGAAGATATTCAAGAGCCTCCATGTTTTTCATTTTTGCTGCATATTCAAGAGCGTTTAATCCTTCATCATTATTCGTTGATAAGTCGACACCAGCTCTAATTATGAGTGTAATGGTAGAAATGGGAAATCTCCTGAATATAGCAAAAAACAATAAGTTTGGATCGTCCCTAGAGAACCTGTGAAGTGAATTTAATTCTTTGGGGTGATTTTTAAGGAGATATTCCAGTGCTTCAATATTCTCTGCGTAAACCGAATAATTTAAAGCATTTAATCCATTGTTATTCGTTACTGATAAATTAATATCGTTGGTTGAGAGGATAAGTTCAAGCGTAGTGGTGGGAAATTTTCTATGTATAGAGTAGAATAGCAAATTGGGGCACGAAGGAGAAAATTTGCTTTGCAAGTTCAGTTCCTTTGTGTGATTTCTAAGAAGATGTTCTAAAGCGTTTGTGTTTTTTTTGCTATCTGCATAGTCCAAAACATCCAATCCTGCATCATTTCGAGTCGAAAAATCGACGTCGTGGTTAAGGATAAGCTTTAGAATATGATCAGGAAAAAAATTTTCTATGGCAAAAAATAATAAGTTTGGGCAGGTATGGGAAAATCTGTGTTGAGAGATTAAACCCTCGGTATAATTGCTAAGAAGATATCCCAAAGCCGTAATATTTTTGCAAGCAGCCGCATAATCAACGGCATTTAATTGATCGTGATTTTTAATTGAGAAATCAATATGACTATTGAGAATTAGTCTAAGCGTAGAAACAGGATAATTTTCTCTGATTGCGAGAAATAATAGATTGGGGCAACTTCGGGAAAACGCATGCTCAGGGTTTAATTTCATTAGATAATTGCCAAGAAGATATTCCAAAGCTTCTAGGTTTTTCTCTTCGGCTGCAAAATCAATAGCATTTAATCCTGATCCTTCGAAGTTTTTGGTTGACAGATCAATATTAGAGTCAAGAATTAGTTTGAGACTGGAAATAGGAAAATCTTCTTTTATAGCAAGGAATAGTAGGTTAGGGCAATCATCGGAGAATTTAAATTGTGAATCCAAGTTTTTTGAATAATTTCTGAGAAGATATTCCAAAGTTTCAATACTCTTTTTATTAGCTGCATAGTCCAAAGCATTTAACCCATCGCTATTTTGCTTTGATAAATCGACGTCGGATGTAAGAACCAGTTTTAGTGTAGAAATTGGAAATTTCTTATATATCGTGTAAAACAACAGATTCGGTAATCGACTACTATATGAAGAATTTGGATTGAACCCGTACTTTAAATATAAACTGATAATCTCCCAATTTTTATGTAATCCTAGGGCGTCTAGCAAATCGTATAAAGAATAAGAGCCACGAATACTCTTTAACTCGTTGATAGGGCAATTATTATATGATAGCCAAGCCATAAGCTCTTTGAATTGGTGCAACTCTCTCGGAAAATGAATAGAGTTGTTGCTTACCAAGGATCCTAAGGAAAGGCGTATGTCTCCAAAATTCGCACCATATAACTTCAAAGTTTCAAAAACGAGAATTATAGCCTTCCAGTAACAATTCTTCAACGTAAATTCGGGCAGATTTTTGACATTTCGATAATCATCATAATCACATTGATCAAGATGCCATTTTAGCCCTTCTATATCTCCAAATGCAACGTGCACTTGGGCATTGCAAAGCGATTTATCATTTTTGCTGAGATATTTATCGTCACAGTGATGCATCTTTGCAACATTAAGCATCTTCGAGCATGTCCTGATCGGCTTGGTATTCTATTGAATTTTCATATTAGAAAGTCTACATTGTTATACATATAAGAAATAAATAGAAATCGGACCAACCTTTACAAAAATTTCGATTTTAGCGAACTCGTGTTGATCCTTTAATATTTGTGCATTTTTGGAATTTATACCTGATCATTAGAATTTGTAAGTGGCCATGTCAATTAAGAAAAAATGTAAGGCATAATATGGTAATTAACATACAAGATATTACGGCGTCGTTAGAAGCTGAAGTATGGTAAGAGACAGAGTCTGAGATATCTATAATATCGCTTATATTTGTTGTATTCGGAGTAACATTTTGTTCATCGCATGAAGGATCGTAAACAGCGTCTAAATTAATGTTTTCAAGATTCACGCAAATTTCCTCAATCGTCGGGCGTTTCTCTGGATCTTGTTGCCACGCGTCACAGTAAAGGTTTACATAGTCCAATGGAGTTCCTAAAATTGGCTGTTCACGCTTTCCTTTAATGAGATCTGCAACTATTTTAAAGTTATCTTTATTTTGAAACGGAGGCACGCCGCTAGATATTTCCCAGAATAAAACCCCCAAACTATAAATATCAGAAGGTTTATTTTTTTTATAACCATGACTACTCATGTTTTCGATACACTGAGGTTCTTGATAAGGAATTAATCCTCCATTCGGACTATCCGGGGTAAAAGTTTCCAATGATGTTTCCAAGGATTTTGACAGACCAAAGTCTGTGATTACTAATGTGTCGTTATGAATCAATACATTTTTAGAATGCTGGTACATTTTAAAACGAGAAATTTTTGATTACTAAATAGTGTAAAAAGACAAAACATTGTGAAAGTAATATACTTACTAGATCGCGATGCACAATACCTTCACCATGAATGCAATTCAAACCATTGGCAATGTCCTTGGCCATCTTTATTTTTTTAGGCCAATCAAGTTGAGCAAAATATGTCTGCAAGTATGACCGGAGAGTTCCTCCATTTGCATACTGAAGAACCAAAAAGTAATCCTTTTTTTTAGGATCTAGTTGATGTGACGTTTAATATGATAAATATGGTTATGACTTTTATTATTTCAAAGACGTAGTATTTTATTACCTTGACTTATGCCCATAAACTTGATAATATTGTCGTGATAATCAACTTTATTTATGTTCCGAAGCTTTTGACCCATTTTTGACTTTATTAGTTTGTATTAAAAACTTTAGCAAAAAAAAAAAATTTTTTTTTCTAAGTTTACCTCTCTGACAAAATCTTTGTGAAAGTCCTTATATTTATGAAGACTTTTTAAAGCGACCATCTTTCCCGCATTTTTAAGGTATGCTCTATGAACAGTGCCATAACCACCCCATGCAATTAACTCGATTTTCTCAAATAGATGGTAATCAAATGACTTGATAAATCCATTCTCAACGGAAAACTCAAACCAATCTTTTTTATCTGTTAAAAAATTCATGGCGAAAACTCAGTCTAAATCTGAAAATACAATAATACTGCGACTGAATTCACTTAAAAGATACTGTGCACTAAATCAAACTTTAATGTTTACAATTTCTTGTCTAACATGCAAAAGGTTGATCAAAACAAATCAATTACCATATATTAAGAGACTTTCGAAAAGAAGTACTAAGACATTGCGTTTATGGTATAAATGTTAAATGCGTTCCGATAACACGATTAATATAGGTGTACTGCGCGTAGTGTACAAACAAATATGCATACAGTATTACATACGTACTATAGACAAGGTAAGTACAACATTTGTGCAATCGCACATCATATAGATAGTCGCGCCTGAATAGAAATATGTAACCAATATAATTCATGTAGTAATTTATGGGTATGACTGCTTTGCCGCAAAATTGATTTACGTATTAGTTGAAGCTTTATGTAGTTTCACAAAGTACGTGGTAAACAGTGTCATTCACAATAAACTGTTTTTACACTCACATATTAAGAGAGTCAGACTGCAGAGTGATATTATTATTCGATGGCGGGAGACGTCAGCTCT